GAGAGAGAGAGAGAGAGAGAAAGAGACTGGGGGAAGAGGACTGGCAGACCAAGGGCAGAAAGAGAGGGAGGGAGAGAGAGAGAGACCCTTTTGACATCTAAAATGAAGATAACACTGCATATATCCTTTTTTACCTTTATGAGATATATGCAGTGTTATCTTCATTTTAGATATCAAAAGGGTTTTGCGGCTCCCAGTATTTGTTTTCGGTGGGAAACGGGTCCAAGTGGCTCTTTGAGTGTTTTGAGTTGCCTAGCCCTGCTCTAGTCTTATTTCTTGTGTTGCTATCCCATTGGGATTTTGGTCATAGACGCACCACTCTTGTCAGCCCTATGATGCTCACTAGGATTTTCCTCCAGGACTAGATTATATATTAACTGGAGATTTGTGATACTGGATGCCAAAGTAAATTCACTTGAAATCAATGGAATTTGTTAGTCATGACAGTCCCACTGTTTTCATGAGAATGAAGTATAATTAATTTATTTTACGTTCAACTACTGTAGCTCTTAAGTATTACCTCCAGATTACACCTTGACATTTTTATTCACTACAAGTTCCAATCAAGTCAGATTTCCATTTACTAAATAAGCCAATTGTGAAATAGTTCTCTATAAGCCTCCACCCCTTCACTGTTGGAAAAAAATCAGGAAGCATCATAGGGAAATGACTCTCTTTCTCTGTCTCTCTCTCTCTCTCTCTCTCCCTCTCTCCCTCATTATTCTTATCCCTACAACATTTGTTTTTAAGTAAAAATGTTGCAAAATTTAGAAGTGATCGCACCCTGCCACAGTGGGGAATATAAGTACTTCAGGTCTGAACTGTTGGGTTCTTGGTGTTTTCTGAACTTACTTTGACTCTTGCAAACTTTTGTGACCAGGCTAGAAACATCATCAGTTCATGCAGGAGTAGAGCTTGCTGGTTGTTTATATGATAAATTGTCTTGGGGGCATTGTTTCTTCCTCAATTGTTCTTTCTTGTCTGGGTATTGATTAATAGGTGTGTGATGGAGAGGGGGATGTGTGTTTGAGTCTTTCTTTGACCTTTGGTTGCTTCCTTTCCGGAATGATTTGCAGATGAGGCTTATCTCAAAATGTCTGTAAATGGATGATTGATTCATCAGAGCCATGCCTCTAGGAATTCTCTTGCATTTTTGGATCTAGTTTGGCCTAGCATGTCTGCAACTTTTTTCAATCGCAATTGTGGTTTCTGCTATCTTTCTGCTGTATGTTATAAATGACTCCTGCTTTGTATTCAATGGCTGTTGCTTTTGCTTAGAATAGTTTGGATGTATTTTCTTGGTTTATGGACCCCCCAGGATGCCTAGAGGGTATAGCAATTTGCTGATAGTTTCAGAGAGGCTTTTGACATATAGTAGTTATCCTATTAATAGGTTTGTGCAGCTTGTGTAATTGTTGGTTGTATGGTTACACATTTTTTGTTGAAGTTGTTTAGATATCCATTGCATTGGAATATGCAATCAATTTTGGTCACCATACTACAAAAAAGATGTTGAGACCTTGGAAAAAGTTCAGAGAAGAGCAACTAAGAAGATCAAAGGTCTGGAGACTAAAACATATGAAGAACGGCTGCAGGACTTGGGTTTGACTAGTCTAAAGAAAAGAAGAAACAAGGGTGACATGATAGCAATATTCCAGTATTTGAGGGGCTGCCACAAAGAAGTGGGGATCACATTATTCTCCAAAGCACCAGAAGGCAGGAGAAGAAACAATGGTTGGAAACTGAACAAAGAGAGAAGCAACCTGGAATTAAGGAGAAAGTTCCTAACAGTAAGAACGATTAACCAGTGGAACAGCTTGCTTCCAGAAATCATGGGCATTCCATCACTGGAGATTTTAAAGAAGAGACTAGACAGTCACTTGTCTGAGATGGTATAGGTCAGTGGTGGCGAACCTATGGCACATGTGCCAGAGGTGGCACTCGGAGCCCTCTCTGTGGACACACGCACCGTCGTCCCAGTCCCGCCTCCTCCCATGGCCCCCTCCTCACCAGCAGCCCCCCCGGAGAGTTGTCCCCAGCACAGCAGCACAGCCAAGGACATGGTAGCCGGGCAGCGGGGATGCTGCTGCAGGGTGCGGGTGGAGGGCGTGGCCACCATGGTGCTGCTGGGCTGCCTGGGTGATCTGTGGCGGGCTGTGGAGGTGGTGGGTGGCCCAGCGGGCAGGGTGGAACGGGGACGGGGGGCGGGTTTTGGGGATTCGGTCTCTAAAAGGTTCGCCATCACTGGTATAGGTTCTCCTGCATGAGCAGGGGGCTGGACTAGAAGACCTCCAAGGTCCCTTCCAGCTCTATTCTATTCTATTCTATTCTATTCTATTCTATTCTATTCTATTCTATTCTATTCTGTATAGATAGTCTATTTCAGATTTTTGGAATTCTAGGTTACTGCAGAACACCATGCCTCTAGCACTCCTTCCCCAATTTCTTTTCTATGCCATTGGGTTGTTGCTGTAATTGTTCAGTAAACTTGACCGATGAAGGTTGTTTTGTGGCACACCAATAGCCAAACACAAGATTCGAGTCATTTACAGCATATTAATGCAAGATCTGTGAAAATTACTAAGGTATGTGGGGCAAACAGGAAGAAAATTGAAAGAATGCACCCACAAACATCATCTGGAAGTCAGAAGACATGAGGAAAATGCCTTAATTTTGCAACATGCTGACAAGTTCGACCACAAATTCAATTGGGAAACTATAGACATCTTAGACTAAGCCAGATGTAAAAATGCAACAGAATTCTTAGAGGCGTAGCAGTCTCACAAGTCAGCTATTAACAGACATTTATTTATCTATCAGATTTTTATCCTGCCTTTATTACTTTATAAGGAACTCAAGGCTAAAAACATGCATCATACTCCTTCCTCCTCTTATATTCCCCAAAAACAAGCACCCCATGAAGTGAGTCGGGCTAATCCTGTTACTAACAACATCTGCAGTGATTCACTTAACAACTGTGGCAAAGAAAGGTTGTAAAATGGGGCAAAGCTCACTGAACTGTTTTTGCCTAGCAACAGAAATTTTAGGCTCAACTGTGGTCGTAAGTTGAGGACTACCTGTAGATAAGGCAGAAGCAAAATGAGTTAATTATCCCATGAGCTTAGAAGTCTGCCATCTTGTGAGCCGTACTTCAGGTGTTACTCTGCCCTTAATCCCCGAACAACTCACCTTTCTGTCTAAGAACTTGGAATATAATTCAGCATCCTCTTCCCAATCTAAGAGGACTTTTTCAAAGACAGGACGAGGGTCTGGTTCATCTGGAAAAAGATGGAAAATGGATGAGAATTATTCAGGATCTATAGCAGGAGTAGGCAACCTTGGCTCTTTTATGACTCGTGGACTTCAACTCCCAGAATTCCTGAGTCAGCTTGGCTGGCTCAGGAATTCTGGGAGTTGAAGTCCACGAGTCATAAAAGAGCCAAGGTTGCCTACGCCTGATCTATAGGAATGGGGGATATATAAGCGTGCAGCAGAACATATTGTAGTAGAAGTTTGAAACTTTCTTGTTTTTGAAGAGAAGGTATTCCTGTTGTTTTCCTGAGATAGATGATCCATTCTAACAGTTGTCCATTTCAGACAAAAAGAACACCTCAGTCAGCGGCCATCCCAGTTCAATGCTGCCAACAATTCCTATTTGCAACACAGGGAGAATGCCTGTGAGGATATTACCTGTGTCAATCAAAATGGGCATCTGCAGGATCACCATGGTGGCCGGGGATCCAACTTGTACACGGCGAGATAAATGCCTGGATGG